TACCTATAAGCACAAATATGTTTGTCAGATAGTCATCTTTTCCACATGTGGTCTCCATGAGAGGTTACAGTAACGTGAGGAGGAGCTGCACCATGGACTGCTCCCAAAGAATTTTCAAGCTCATGTTGCCCACATATCGCTGCAGCAGCCACTGTAGTAGCGATAGCAAGTAGATATTAAATAAGGAAAATTAGCAAAGAGAATGCAGCATATATGCACATGTATAGAGATAGACCTTTCGCTCCAAAGGTAGCGAACTTTAGCTGACCTCCAACTCTTAGAAACTTGATAAGGCCTGCATGACTTTCAAATACCGAATGTTGCAAGATGTTACAGGGGAGGTATGAAGAGGCCCATTTACACCCTAGTTGAGGTCAGCTACAGTTTGCTTCATTTGGCATGAAAGGTTCCAAATATACATGTGCTTTATATGTATATGGTACTATATGTTGCATTTCCTTCACTAATTTTCCTTATTCAATATCTACTTGCTGTCACTACAAAGATATAAGAAAAGACTCATAGTACCTTGTGAAGGAGCTCAAGGCAGTGTGCCGTCCTCTGCTGGGAAAGAAGACGTAGAGGAAGGAGGATGTGTGGAAGGGGTGTTGATAGAATTGGATCAGACTGAGGTGGTGACTGAAAGGGCTGCGGAGGTGTGTCTTGTGGAGGAAGGAGGGGAGGAGTTGGACTTAATTATGTGGGAAGATATAAAAGAGAAAAAAGGCACGCGCGATTTCAGAACGTGGACGGATCTGAACCCAGACCGACCAAGGCATAGAGGGGTGCAAACTGAACCCATTCTCAGCCAGAGTCCAGGGACTGATGTGACTCTGGGATTCCCTAATCTGATGACGGGAGGCGGACTGCTCCCAGATCCTTTAACCGCGGGGGTTAGAGGTAGAGTTATCGAGCCTCTAGAATGGAAGGTATCTGTTTTCCCCCTGAACTACCCTGGAGGCGGGTGGCGGGTGATTCGTCCTGGCCCAGAGTTCCAGAAGAGGCCTTTGGAGGGCGATTGGGCCCGCCACCCATGCTGCGGCACGGTGTGTGCCGTGAGGAGCGCGCCCATACGACAAATGACGGACCGCGAGAAGTTTGGGCCGGCTCCCTATTAGGGAATCAAGACATTACCCCAGTTGTTCGCCCCAAGAAGTATAATCTGTTGCCGGATCACTTGTTACAAGATCCTTTTGATCCTTGTGAGTTGGGAACTGTTTGTAATAAAAATATTGTTAATGAAGAATCTGATGAGCCTCCTTGTCTTTTTCCCGCCTTCACCACAAGCGCCCCTCCCGCCGGAGAAGGACCTTCTTACATACCTTGATGCCTGTGTTCTGCTTTTGGCCAAAGAGAACTACAGTCTTTCCAAGAGAAAGTAGACAACTTTGTAACATATTTTAGATGTGGCTGGTTATTTAGTAGCACATTAGCTCATCATCACCATTGCATTTAGTTTTCTATTGTAAAATAAAAAGTTGGTACAGTATGTTGTTTGTGGTTTAGCCTTCTGTTTGCAAAACACAGTTTTAACTGAGAGTATCAAGAGTGTCCCATTCACAGATATTAGAAGCTTGGAAGTTTGATGTCCCCAATGAGTTATATAGTGGGAGAGGCTTTACTAGTTTTATGTTCTACAGTATTTCCAATAATTGAAATATTAAGATTGTAATAATAACTAAACGAATCTCAAGATTATTTTTCTCTTGCATATGAAAATAGGATCTTGTTTCACTCTCAGCAACAAGAGTGAAGAAGAAATAAGAATATTGTTAATATTCAGTCAGAAATCTTTTTCTCCTTAACTCCTTATTGAGTTAAACACTCAGCCATTATGTCATACCCAAAGTTCATACATAGAATCTTAGAAATCCTGGTATTTGGAAGGTTTGCTAAATGTTTACTACCTAAAGTAATCCTTACAACAGCTTTGTGACATAAGCTGCCTTTTATGGCAGATGGAAGTGCTGAAGCTTCAGAGTAGCTTGCCTAAGGTCACTCAGTAAGTTAGCGGTTGAGAAAGTATTTTTACCAGGGTCTTTCTTTCCATCATCTTAACCAGTATAGCACTCCAAATCTCTTGTTCCTGCTCTCCTACTATACACACATAGCTCCAAAGCAGAGATGGCCATGAATCTCTTTGGCTCACTTTGTAAAAATACAGGAGCATAGCACCACAGGTGCCACACATTCCCACCCTGTGGGCCAGCTGGCCCACTCACAATCCACCGTGCACCACCCAGGTCCTGCTCCTCAGGCAGCCGTCCAGTCTGGCCAGGAGCCAGGCTTCCCTTCCCTGTCTCCTCCAGCAGCCGACCACTTAGACGAGGAAGTGGGACAGGGATTCTCGCTGCTCAGCTGTTGATCGCCTGAATGATTGGCTGCCAGAGGAGGTGGGAAGGGAAACCTGAGCTCTTGGCCAGACTGGACAGCTGCCCAAGGAGGAGGACCCAGGTGGTGTGCAATGGATTGTGAGTGGGCCAGCCAGCCGGGGGTGAGGGGAAGGAACACATAGCACTGGTGGTGCCATGTAAACAAATTTTTACAAAGTTGGCTGAATCTATTCATGCCCATTCCTATTTCAAAGCTCCTTTTTGAGCTGGGAAAGCCTTTGAAAGCCTCAGGATGGAGTGAGGAGGCAGCCTTAGTGCCTGAAAATTGTCACTGACTGCAAGAGGATTTTGGCAGTTGTATGTGTAGAAATTGCTTTCTCAGTACAATTCCCTCATACATTTAAGTGATGATTCACAGAGAAAAATGTGAAGATCAAATGTATTATTACATCAGTGTGTGTTTTGATCTTTGTGGAGGTTTGTTGGTTTGCTGAAATGTGAATAAACTTAGAGATTAAAGATGAGTATGTTTACTTTTACCAATTGATACCACTTCATGGCAGATTACTCCTGCAACAGCTGACTGAGATCATGTTGCGTGGTAGTGGCTCATGCACAATTCAGGTTGAATGAGGGAGAGGGTGCAGTGCAATACATTGAGAAACTGAGTTGCAACAGCTTTTAATACACAGATTGAATGTATTGCCATTCTTAATCATTAAATGTTTCCTTTATAAAGCTGGGATGATGTTGTGTGGCTCATATTTTTGATCTCTGCCTCATTAGCTACTTAACCAAGGCATCTCAATATACCTTATTCTCAGAAGATGCTTATTCTATTTATTGGTAAGGGGAATTGACTTTGAAATAAAAGCAGATGGTAATATTTGTTTTATAAATTTACTGCTGCTATGTACACAAAGGGTTTATTGCACTAATGAATTGAAACTCTATAGTATATTTATGTAACCCAAGTGCAAACATAGTGGTTTTTAACTAGAGTAAACTATTGAACTGGTCATTTTTTTATGTGAATCGGTTTTTTCAATTTTTTTCTTCCACAAAATCCAAAAGCAACCTGTTGGCTGAGCTACACTGTGTAAAGACTAAGAAATAGTGCCACTGCGTCACTGATCTGACTTAATCAAACTGAATTGTGACTCTTCTATAGTTTTCTTGTTTGGGGAATCTGCATTTTGTGATGAGCCCCACTGGCCAAGCCAAAAATTGTGACTGCCAGTCTTCTGCTCTTCCAGACTCCTTCTACCATTTTTTAAAGGAAAAGGCCAGTGAGAAGCATGGCCAATTGGGCACTGCTGTTTGAACTTTCAGGAATCTGAATACCTAAAAGCTGCACAGCAGCATTTGGTGCTTCCCTGTCCACCCTTTCTTTCTTCCTGTGTTGCCAAGATTCTGGTGCCTTGATTATACAGCTACCAAATACAGTAATCCAGTTTCTTCCTCCCAACTGTGGAGCTGGGAAAGGGGCATGAAACTGCTAGAACAATCTGCATCACTCCTGCAGCTTAAATCTGGGAGAAAAGCTAACTAATTATAACACTTTCCAGAGAGTAGGCAATACCCACTCTGCACAATTGAAGAATTGTTAAAGCCTGGCCTTATTGAACAATACTTGTGTCTATTCTCACCTATCTTATTATGATTTGCCAACCTGATTGAACTGCGGAGAAGCTGGAGAGAGGAGGAGACACAGGGAGATGCAAGGAAGATAAATTGGACATTAATTAGACATTTAATTATACTTAAAGTAAGGAAGTTTGGCATTATTTTGTCGTTGTAAACCTAAGAATCTCCTGAGAACACTATGGACAACAACTCTGGAAAACAAAACCTTTATGCTACCTGTAACAACTATCTAAGGTGCTGGCAAAAAGCCTAGAATCGATGACCTTGAACATTTTATGGCTGTTTGGAATTCCCTTTCTTTTTGAGGACGGAACTGAGCTCCAGACAAATTAACCCTAGAAAGCCTAGTTCAGCCAAAGTGAAACTTCTAAACCAGTGGTCCCCAACCTTTTTGACACTGTGGACCGGTTGGGGGTGGACAGGGACTGTGTGCAGGGAAGGTGGGGCACCCCCTGCATGCATGCGCGAAGGGGCAGGGCGTGCTCACGCGGGGGAGCACACACATGAAAGGGCAGGGCTGCTCACGGGGGCTCGCACACATGTGCAAAGGGGCTGTCTGGGGGAGTGCATGCGGGAGGTGGGAGATCTGTCTCCGCGGCCCAGGCCACAGACCAGAGGTTGGGGACCCCTGTCCTACAGGGTTTCTAGGGAAAAGACAATACATAGTCAATGGTGGCTTTTCTAACAGGGTGATAACCACTATAAAACTTGTATTAAACTGTGGTTCTGCAGGCCTTTGTGTTAAACTGTTACCTTTGTCTTCATCTTAAATCTTTCACTCTTTCTTCCCTTGCCTACTTTATGTGTGCATTTGTGTCAGCATAGAAAGAGAGAGTGAGAGAGAGAGGTATCTTGTTTACCAATAGAGTTTCATCTAATCACTCAGCTAAGTTCCTTCTGGGTTTCAATACCATGAACTTCTTGCTGCTCATATTGTCTCTTTTTTTCAAAATGAATTATCAGGCTGTGAGACTATGAACTATTGTTTTCAATAATGTGCTTGTTTTTTTCTCCCAACAGGGTCTACGCTGTGATGTGAGAAATAGTAAGTCATACAGCTTTGGGTTTATTTGTTTTTCTCTTTGCCTTTATATCTTTCATATCAGTTTTCCACTCTATAGCTAGAGTCATGCTAAACTTTATTCTGACAATAATCTTTATCAATTTTAATAATTATATTTCAGTCATACCTTTATTGTGCCAGCAAAAAAAATCACAAAAAGTGTGCAATCTTTCAAATTAATCTTTCTCCAGCAGGGAAGATGTTAATATAAGTGGAAGAGGGAAAGGATGGCAGTCTTAAGTCCTTGTAGTCTGCAAGTTGTCTTGTGGTATAATGGAGGAGGCAGAATGGAGGCAATAGATTGGCCTGTCTTCACTAGATGATGCAATAACATTACATTTCACCAGTAATTGCCTGACTGGGAGCTAGAAAGTTAGAAATGTTCAGTTCTCTTAAGACATTATATGTTTCATTGTAAACTTACATCTGTATCTGTTCTGTCTGAGCACACAGATGTGAGTCAGTGGAAAGCAGAGTGACTAAACACTATTTCCAGAGTAGGTGATCTAGTGGGGCAGAGGCCCATTTTTGATTGGCCAGCAATTCAAGGGCTTCATTCCTAAAGGCTAAATGAGAGGGGATATGGCCAAAGAGGTAATTCAACATCCTTTTTTAAAATTATTATTATTTTATAAAGTTTGTTTCAGTGAATTTTTGTCAGTTAAAAATGGAGTGTTTTGGAGAGATCATATGGAGCCTTCTCTGTTTAGTATGGCTTGGGATTTCATGTTTTCTGTTACTATTGTAGACTTGTCTCAGATAATATTAGCCCCAATAAATGTGAGTTATATTCTGGACATCATGTTCTGTTCAGGGCCAATAAAGGATTCTTTGTTAGAACTGAGCTCAGTACAGTATCCATTGGCTCCATTATAATGTATAAATCATTAGTATATCATGTTTGATCCCAAAACTACTTGTATGAAGTTTGCCTGCGTGATAGATGACCCAGATCTGAGGGATCGTGATCCAGAAGATTTTCTGAAATCTCTAGGGGATCATTCTGCAGCCCAGTGGTCGTGTTAAGACTCACGTCTTTGCTTGGACCAATGAAATGTCTTGGTTATAAATACAGTAGGATTCCCGATGTGATGTAGTGTATAGAATGACCGACTAGGACTCTGGAGAACAGGGTTCAAATCCCCACTTGGTCATGGAAGCTTATCGGGGGGAGGAATTGGTAAAACCGCTCCTTAAATATTTCACTTACCTTGAAGGCCCTAATAAGTCTGTTCTGACTTGTCAGCACAGAGCACACACAGATACAGTAGCTCCCAAGTGTGCTTGATTATATTGTAGAGTTATAGCTGCCTGTTGTAGAACTGGCCCTTCAAAACAAACACAGAACAAAACTCAAAGAAGGGTATTTGTGCAACAAACTCCTCATAATGGAGGTTCTTCGCTGGCAGTGAATAAAAAGCATAGGGAATTCAGGAATATGATTTCCCATACCTGTAATTTGCTGATACACACAATTCGATAATCTCAGAATGATTCCATCATGTGTTTGGAACAACAGCTCTCTACTATGAGATATATACATCTTGCTATGAGTGTACAGTAGATCTATTTTACCTAAAGCATAGAAGTGCATGTATTAATGAGAACATGTGGAGATGCATCAATGACAGTTTCCACCTTCAGGGAAGTAGATGCACAGCGACAGAAAATTTATGCACTTCCGTCTCCTATTATGCCGCCTTCTAGAAATTGAGTGTACATTAAAGGAGACCTCCCTGCCAAAAAGTTCTTGGTGTTACCTTGCTTGCAGCTTCATTAGCTTACTTGCAAAATGCACTGTTACACCGTGTAAGATATTAGGTTAAACAGGCAGTATAGGAGGTGGCAGATCAACTCGAAGTACTGTTCCAAAATAAATGAACTGCTGCCTTAAAAACTGGATTTTTTTTTAATTGCCAGGTGGCTGCATGGATCAGAGCTGGTTCCAGTATTTGAGATGGACTCCCTCAGCACCTAGCTCCCTCAGTGTCAACATTAATACTTACAGAGATGAAGAGGGGAAACTATTTCCTGTGTTAAAAATAGAATGGAAAGTGGCTACTGATGGTAAGTGAAGGACAATTTAATGTAGATTTCACAGGGCTGGTGTGTATAAAACATGGGAATGGTCTGTAGTATATAATGCTGTTCATTGGCCCAGTAGGAGTGGCTGGAAGTTCCACTGAAATGTTTTTGTATGTGGCTTGGCTACTGATTATATGCTGGGAAACCAGTAACATAAAAATTGCTCCTTTGAGTGCCTTTCAGAGCATATGTGGGTGAGTTTCAAAGATGAATATTAAAGTGGCAATATTTCAGTTCAAATGCAGATGGAAGAAAGAAGTGAAATGAATATATTAATAAACTGTGATGGTGCTGACTTTCAAGGAGAGCTTCTGTGAACAAAGCAACCCTGACCAGCTGCTACATCACTAAGTTGGACTGGTTTTTGCTGCATTTGAGCAGACCCACTCAGCTGAGGGAAGCTCACATATAGTAAAGCAGCACTGGCTAAGGCAGTGGCTGGAGGAGCATTCCATCAGCTGTTACCTCAGTTGGCCTAATAATATAAAGAAAACCCATGTTTTCTTACTAAACACAAACACCCACCAACAATTTACATACGGTATATGCTTTTACATACATGTTATCAAATAACATCTTCCATATAATATAAATGTTTGTGATATCCAAGCCACCTTAACTAAAATCCAAACCACATTCATTCATAGAGTGGAAACATACACGCACACACGCGCGCACACATATATACACACTCAGCCACAGGCATGCCTAGAAGATTATCTCAAGGCTGCACACATGTTTATAATATATACAATTCTTTTAGTAGTAACTAACCATCCATTGAGAAACCTGGACAGTCATTCATACAAAGTGCTAAATTTATTCACAGAAGTGCTTAATTCCTGTAGTCCATATCTTATTAAGCTCAACGTTTCCTTGAGGGTTTTTTCAAAATCTTCACTACTTCTCTTCATAACAAACTGTCCTTTCTCTTGGTAATAAACTGTCTGTTGCTGCTGACGAAGATGCTTGCATATGGACTTGGTTTCTCTTTTCTTCATCAAAGTGCTAGGACTCAGTCTAAATAGGCTTCAGAGGGAGAGAAAACCTCAGTTGGAGCAGCTTCACCAGCCCTGGGTCTGTCTCCTTTGGCAAAGATGAATGGCAGGAAGCATTAATGTGTTCCCTGCTCTCCCAACTTGGTGGCTGCATACTCCCCTAAATGGAATCATTGCAGGGTTTAAATCCTGCCTTTCTCCCAGTGAAGGGATTCAATATGACAATATATGTTTAAAACAACAGTAAATTAAGATAATAATACTAAAATACAATTAAATCTAAACAATATTGCAAAACGGTTAGAGATGAGAGTAGGGGTTGTTTTCCCTACTGGACTCCAAGATGTAAGTGTTGGGAGTACTAAGAAGGGAGGCTCCACAGGCTGCATGGACATTCTCCACAAGTCTGAAGTTCTCCATTCTCATTCTGTACTGTATAAAGAGATGCTTTCTTTGCTATTCCTGATCTTTTCATGCTGAGCCATAACCCATTTAAATTATTTTATGCAGAAGTGGGGGAAGCCCCCCATTATTTGTTACTCCATGCAAAAGCATTCATACTTGGAAAAATCTGGGCCTGCCCCTTCCTCTTTCTCTCCTCACAGTCAAGGGCTTGTGTCACTGTCTAACCTGCCATTGCTTTCTCCCTACAGAGGCTACAAATGAAAATAGATAGATTTCTTTACTGATCCCTTTTCTCTTTTTCTCCGCAACCTCCCTGTACCAATCAGCAAGTATTCAGTACCTCAGAGGGGCAGAATTGACGGTGCTACAGGTGAGCACTAATCGGCAGCTCTGTGTACAGTTTGACTTCCAGGATAGCCTCTCTTTCCAAGTCCATCCAAAAGATGGAGGCCGGGTGAGTGATCACAGAGATGTTATATATGTATTACTTTGCCTCTCCTCCCCTGAATCCAAGTGTGTTGCCTTTAGTTATTACAAAATTTGCAAACCAAAAGGATCACCTAATCCTTAAGAAAAACCTTATAATTAACAATATACCCAAGGGACGTGGTGGCGCTGTGGGCTAAACCGCAGAAGCCTGTGCTGCAAGGTCAGAAGACCAAGCAGTCGTAAGATCGAATCCACGCGACGGCGTGAGCGCCCGTTGCTTGTCCCAGCTCCCGCCAACCTAGCAGTTCAAAAGCGTGCAAATGCGTGTAGATAAATAGGTACCATCTCGGTGGGAAGGTAAACAGCGTTCCGTGTCTAAATCACACTGGCCATGTGACCACGGAAAGATTGTCTTCGGACAAACGCTGGCTCTATGGCTTGAAGAGCGGGATGAGCGCCGCCCCCTAGAGTTGGACACGACTGGACAAAAATTGTCAAGGGGAACCTTTACCTTTACCTTAACAATATACCCTATTATCTGCGGCAAATAAAAACTTATCCAGTGTTACGCCTGCTATATGTGTGCTGTGAATGCCACTACAGCAGCCACTACTTGATCACCTTGGGAAAGCAATGAAGTATGGTGGCTGTTCTAGACAGAAAGAAAGACAGTTGGGAAAATCAGGAACACAGAGAAGACAAGAGAGTGAGTGCATCAGGACTGGCTGCCACCTGTTGCCATAACCATTTTCTTTTACTCAGCTGTAAACATCTCTTTAGGTGTTATGAAGGGACCAAGGATGCTGGGCAAACACCATAAGAAAACAGATAGAAGCATTGTTCTTTTCAATTACTCCCAAGGAGGATCAGTCCCCTGATCATGCCCATGCATGTTGCCATCTGATAGAATTTTCTTCAGTGAGCTTCTGTACCCCTACCACCAATCTCTTTCTTGCCAACTGTGTTATAGCTGGAGGAGTGGGGAGTTATAGCTGTGGATGACTCTTTCAAAATTCACTTGAAAGGCTGCTTTAAAAATACTGACACTTATTCCATGCCAGCTATCAGTTAACGCCGTATGCAGAAAACTGAAATAATAAGCATTACTCACAATATTTCCCATGAAACAGAAAGTCCTCTTTCTTTGTCCACCAGGACAGAAGAAAAAAGTGGTGGAGGTGTGGATTAGGGTGCTAAAATGCTGCTGTGGTGAGCTTTGAAACCTCTGCTGGTTTTCATTCTTGAAAAGCATTTGGAGAAGAAAAAAGAGTGAGCTAAACCAGTACAGAAGATGAAAGTGTTCTCTCACACATAGGAAGAAAAGTAATTGAAAACTGGAGATGGGGAGATAATTCATTTGTATATTGATTTATTTAAGTACTGAACAGTTTGAGACTTGTTGACTCTACCGGAATAAAATAATCATTTTGAATATACAATAATTCTTTTCCTTCCCCCCCTCCAGTGTTTTGTTTATATTTTTTGCTTCTATAGCATAAAATGTAATGTAGCAGTTCAGTGCACGGTCGTTTCTAGACTTCAGTGTACTGACACTTCATGTCTCTGCTGACAAATCTCTCCTTACTTTGTTATTTCAGTGGCATTTTTCTTTCAACCAATTTCAAGTACAACCAGGTCAGATGTACAATGTCACTGTCCATCATTTGCCCAAACTGAGTACTGTAGGAGACGATAACTCGAAATCTAGGTCATTCCGTGTGCCAGGTAAGGATTTGTTAATTAGTTTATTAGACTGTAAAATTATTCTCCAGGAATATACTCAGATCAAAATTCAACCAAGTGGTGGCAGCTTTTATTAGTATTTGTTATTCATATAGCCCGTGCCGCAGAGTGCTTTGCAGAAGCTGTTTAAAAGTATATATCCCTATGTACAGTTCATATGGGTTCATTTTATGTTGGCTGTCACCATTATATAGTTATTGTCTGTGTTTCCATGTTATCCCCAATAAAAACAAAGACTGCTCTCTTTTTTTCATTTTGGCAACTTTTTAATTACTTTTTTTATTCACTGATGTGGTAGTTCTACCTTTAGCTCTGCTAACCTGTGAAAGGCTGGGATCTGTACTTGTGCCTTTTACTTAAGTGGACTATGTGCAGTGAAAGTTAGAGGGTAGAATTCTGGTTTTCTACTCTCCTTTGCATAAGACTAGCTTATAGCTGAAGGACTGAATGCCAAGGGGAGGATGCCCAAGCGGAGGGATGTCGTTGCTCTGAGGCCATCCTGTCCTGCCCCAGCTTGGACGAGAGGCAGTAGAGGGGAGGCGATGACACACACACCCAGCGTGCCCATCAGAAAGCAAGATGGACATTTCTCAATATATGGGCAACACTTGCTTATAGTTAAATACATCTGATCATGGAGAGCCAAGCAATACATCAGTACCCAATGCACAGCAGATTGTGAGTAACACCAGTATGTAGGACCTGTCTGTTTGAGAAACAAACTAAAAAAGCAGCTCCCTCTCCTTTGTGAGTAGGTGTGGATTCCTTAGGGATCCAACTGTTTGGGAGAAGATGGTTTGTTGTATATTAGAGGTCAGAAGTCTTCTATTGCCCTTGATTGTGTTGCTTTCGTTCTTTATACAGTGGTTTTGAAACATTTTTTCTTACCTTAAGTGGCTTGGTAAAGATAGGATTTCTTTTCTCAGTGTTGATATATCTGTGTTCCTACCTTTCAAAAAGCAAGGGAATTCCTTAAAGAGGAGGAAAACAAACCTTGTGTTTAAAGTAAAGAGGTACTCCCAAAAAACAAAGAACCCTGGATCATAGATAAATGCTTCCTCTCCTTTCTCAAAACATGGACATGTGTACGTTAACTTCTACTGCTACAAGTCAGCTCTATTCTTTGTTTTCACTCTTGGCAGTGTACATGGTTTTCTTCATTCCCCCATTATCCTTACAACAACCCTGTGGAGTAGGCCAAGTTAAAAGAGTGGGACTAGGCCAGAGCAACCAAGATCTGCTTTTTGTAGATGTTGAGACTAGAGATGGGGGTATTTGTATTCGACGTGGCATTAACAAGGGTCCAGCCCCATGGGGCCAAACGGTCCACTCACCAGTCCACCATAGCTGAGGACAGTGGGATTCTACGAATGGCTCTGCAGTGCGCAATCCACTCGCCACTCCTGGCAGGAGGTGGGAGGACAAGCGTCGCTGCAAGGTCGAAGAGTGGCGAATGGATCACATGCTGCAGAGCCATTCATAGAATCACGTCCTCCACGGCGGATCAGTGAGTTGGCCGTCTGGCCCCATGGGGCTGGACTCTCATTAACGCCACCTGTGCGGGGATATTCGTATGCAAATACTCCCATCTCTAGTTGAGACTGCTACAATCTATGCTTCATGTCAGCTTTTCTGTACCACTAGTAATGCTCAGTATAGAAAGTAAAGTACTGTAGTAAAGTGGATTATACTGCAGAGTTTACTTATTTGGGGTGGCACTTCAGGTACAAACAAGGATGCATCAGTGTGCCCGTGTTTTAAGGGAGGCAGGGACCGCTGATCTATGGTCTGAATGTCTTTGCTTTTAGGGGACACAGCTTTAAACATGACTTCTTCCTTTCAAGTGAACATTGTTGTTTCTTTGGGAATTAAATAAGAAAGAGAAAGAAAATTCTAAAGAAAATACGGACTCAAGGAAAGACGACTTGATATAGGAAAATCTGCACATTTTAAGTACTTTAAATACAGGAAGTGTTTACTAATCAAATGTCAGATGAGAATTTCAAAGAAAAGGAGCGGAACAAGAAATGGGGCAAAGACAGGAAATAGGTGACAAAACCTTAGGCGACGAAACTTTATGTTTATAACACAGAACCAATAGAATGTAGCTGATGGCATGCAGAGAACAAAATGAAAAATACTAATGTTAAACGGGAAAGACTGAGAGTAAACATTTGCAGACCAGTTTGAAGAGCTTAAGATGAAGAGGAAAAGGAAGCCGGTGGAAGAAATGAACAGAGGAAACTGGAGTGGAGGGATGTGGTCAAAATAAAAAGCAAATAATAAACCAAACAACAGAATATGGATAAGACAAAAACGTTGAAGAGGAAGGATGGAAGTAATGTCAGTAGCTGAGGCAAGAAAAATTAAGAGCCATTAGCTTTTTAAAAGTTCTTTTTTCATGCTTGTCAAGTTGCTTCTGACTTAACAGTCAGCCCTATGAATTCATAACCTCCAGAAGGTCCCATCATTAGCAGCCCTTCTTGCAAAGTAAAAACCGTGGTTTCCTTTATTATGTCAGTGCACCTCATGTTCGTTCATCCTCTTTCGTTACTATAAGCAGTTTTTTCTTCATTTTCATCAATACTAGAGATGAGCACTTACCACTATTTGGTGAATCAGACCTGCAGGTGTTGCACGAGTGCCCTAGATTCCACACCATTCTCCCTGCCCCCGCAGGCACCCTGTCAGAAGCAGTGGTGTGGGCTTCCCTGGCTCACCTCCTCTTGAATGGGCATCCACTGGGAGAGGTGGAGCGTGGAATCTAAGGCACCCACTCAACACCTGTGAGCCTGATCTACCAAACTGCACCAAAGCACAGTAAATGCCCATTTCTAATCGTTACAGTTATTTGGTTTTTCTGTAGTACAGTCTTAATGTTTAATGGTAGACCAGTTTTTGCACCTTCTTGTTTAACTTTCATGACTAGCATTTCTGGCTCATTCCTATTTTCTGGTGGGTGTGATCCATTTCTTCCTGACCACTTGCATAAAAGCTATAGTTGGAACATAAATTTGACTGGCTGTGTGATAGGCTTTCCATGTGTCCTGCTGGGTCTACTTCATAACAGACACTGTTCCCTATACATGTGTCACTATGATTGCTACTGCTGTTATGTGCCATCAAGTCATTTCCCACTTACGGTGACCCTGTGAATGAGCAATTTCCAGGATGTCCTGTCCTTACCAGCCCCACTCAGCTCTTGTAGATTTATGCCAGTGGCTTCCTTTAGGGAGTCAGTCCATATTGTATTTTATCTTCCTCTTTTCCTGCTGCCTTCCACCTTTCCCAGCATTATTGTCTTCTCCGAAGAATACTGCCTTCTCATGATCTGCCCAACAGCCTCAGTTTCAATATTTTTTACCTCCAGAGCATTGTTTGATGCATGTTATATTTTCTACCTTGCCAGATCTGGAAAAAAAAGGGTTGGATGACAACCTATCAGGGATGCTTTAGCTTGGATTTCTTGCACTGGCAGATGCCTGGACTCAATGGCTCTTGGGGTCCTTCCAGCTCTATGATTCTATGATTTTAAATGACCCCTTGTCTTAACTTACTCTGTAAATCTGCATCAGTCTATTAAAATATTTAGAAGTCCTTAGTTTATCTTTTTTGTTAAACATTATCCAATGTACCCACTATTATATTTCCTGAATGTAAACATAGCTTTCCTTTTTGTTTCAGACTGCACAGATTCCATCATGAAAACAACAGCACCATGTGTGGAGATAGGTAATATTTGTTTCTAAGTTTGGATAGAAGTTTGGGAAATGCTATTAGAAATCCATGATAGCTATTTTCTCTTCAGGCAGTCTTTGGGAGCCCAGAATTAATGGGATTAGCCTACCTGATGATTCTGTGTTGGTCAGCTTTAATCCAGCTGTGGAAGCAATCAGTTACTTCATCCAGGTGATCAGTTTTCAAGAAGATGGAAATGAATGTAAGAGGACCACAAAACAAATCTCAGAGGTAATCAGTTCTCTCTTCTGCTTACCATTGGAAGCATATTAGAAGGCACACTCCTGTCCTGAAAGCTTAAATTCCACTTCAGGAATTAGCATGTCATTATTAATTTCACTTGAATCTGTCTTTCATCACTTCTCAAGTCATCAAAACAGTCAATTAAATATCCATTCTTGTTCCACAATAAAATAACTACACCTGGTATACAGAGTGCCTTAAGTTCCTCTCTTGGAAATCATATCATCATCACCCAGAATTCTTAAAGTTCAGGATATGAATTATTTGATGCAAATGCTTTGGGCTTCTTTTTCATTGCTATTCTTACTTAATGTGTAAAATATTTCATGCCTTTTTACTTTCCTGCAGTTTTGGAATCTGGAATTTTCTGTGAAATATAAGAAACCTAAAATCCACAAGGTGACATTGAATGCTGTGTTGAATAAATGTTTCACTCTAAACTTGCTGATGAGTAAATGACCCAGCGGTCCTTTTGAGGACCAGAAAGTACAATAATTTTTATCTTAACATTTTAATTTGTTCTTAATTTTACTGATATTTCATATTCATCCACATTTTAAATTGTAGAATGCTGTGGAAGGAAAGGGAGGAACACAGAGATCAAAGAGATTATATAAATTAAATATGGCTAGATATACTTTCTGCAAGAAGGAGAACAAGTGCAACCAGCCAAACTGAGCAAAGTCAGTCACAGCCACCAATCCATCTTGGAGCAATGCTGTGTTCCACAACCATTTGTCATAATGTGTTTGGTACATTTTGCTCAGCCTTTGGTTTCTTTCTCTGACCCACGTATGCTCTGTAAAACGTGCAGTGCGTTTAAGATCGTACATTAGTGTCTTCTTTTCAGTGCTCCTTCTTATTCTTTTTACTAATTTAAGTCAAACTATTCTTGATCTTGGTTTCTGCAGGAGGGACTGCAGCAGCGCCTGAATGTCACAGTCAAGCTAGAGAGAAATTTGAAGAGTTGTTGCAAATACCAAGTGGAGGTACTGTATCAGTTATATATTCAAATGAGGAAAGTAATGATAGTGCATTCTGTTTTAGCAGTATTCCTTCATTAATGTCTACACAGAAAATAGGGGAGTCACCAATGAAGAATTTTGGGCAGTTGATGGTGTATAGAGACATAGATGGCCACCAATGGCAAAGAGAACACTTGTAATCCTATTTCAGATCTGGAACACTGTGTCTTTTCACTTCTTTGGACACCTATGACCTTTTTTCCCGGAACAAAGATTTATTCTAAAATTATGGAAACCAGTGAGATAGCTTGTTAAAACAAAAATGTATTTTTTGATCCCACGGGAGAGTTAAGTGGCCAATTCCCTGTCACTCTGCGCTTCAGATCATATATGGTTATTCTTAATTTTAACCCTTTTATTTTAATTCTGGTTATTTAGGATATTAAACTACGACAATAGCACACTGTTTTAATGTAGCCACTGTCTTGCAAATGGTGCCCCTGTACATTGCATTTTAATTTTCAAACATTTATTGATCCTTCCTATATTTAAAACACCTGAGGCTCAAGAGGGGGAAATAGGATGCAGTACTTAACAGTCCAAGGGGTGATGAACAGTCACGTTGACTTCATGTCCCTAATAGAAAGTGCAGCATTGAAAACAAAAATTATTGGTTGCCTTCGTATAGATTTTGTTCTTGGGCTGGTGCATCAAATCAGCTGCTAACATGGTCTCTCCTTTTCTCTTCCCTCCAGATCCAGCCATTCTTTATAGCTTGTGATACAGATTGTATGAGGCATTCAGGTTCCATTCCGTGCCCCCAGCCTACAATAGGCAATACCCCAACGAATAAAACTGGTATGGTCTTACTTTGAAATCTTCACTAGCCAGAGAACTATTTGTGTTTTTGTTACAGAAAAGTCTTCTTAGAATTTGCTAATGTTAATACTGTCAGCATAAATATCTGAATGCAAGGAAGCATGATCCCTGCAGGACTGATGGCATGGCCTTTTTCCTCTAAAAGAAAAATAGGCAACTTTGGTAGATCTGGTGGTTAACTCCAGCCCCTGGATCATGGGCTACATACCACCAAATTTTAGTATGTGGCAGCAATTGGAAATAGACTTTCTCCCCTTCCAGTTTTTTCCAGAAATAGAATTTTTAGCTAAAACAAGGTGCATGGTCTCTGCATGCCTTGCTTTAGCTTTAAAAATGTATTTATGAGAGAATGAGTCATATCTTTCCTAGCCCTGTTAAAAGGTGATGATAGGAGACAATTGCATTTCAGGCAGATTTTTTGTTTGTTTGTTTTGTTTAAAAGCTAGACAACTCTACTGGGTAGAAAAGCAAGTCATGTGAAGCAAGTCCACAACAATCTAGCATTTGTGGCTTCAGTTATATTGAGCTACTATGAGGAATAGTTCTTGGCTGAGAAGTCTAATTAAAGATAGAAGAAAGAATCATGTTTATTATTTATTGATTATGACGATGACGATGACGATGACGATGACGATGACAATAATAATAATAATAATAATAATAATAATAATAATAATAATAATAATAATAATAATAATAATAATAATAATAATAATAATAATAATAAATGTTTTATTAT